ATTCAATATTTGCAGAAAATTCATATTTAGCAACAAGTGTCTATTAGTAAATAAAATATATAGATATTTAAATTGTTAGAAATTATAATTTAAGATTAGATTATTTAGGTTTAAATTCTTAAGCAATTATTTAATTATAAATTAAAATAATTATTACTTAAAATTTAAAAATTAAATAATTTAATTTTAAATCAAAATAAATATATCTTATAAAATATAGTAAATAAATTAAACTTACTTTTAATGCACTTTTTGATTTAAGTAAAGAATCAACACAATAAAAATAACTATTCCAATGTGTTTCTATAGGACTAGCAAATAAAATAAAATGCTTATATAATGAACATTGCTCATTATGAAGTTTGCTAATAAAATATGAATGATTAGCATTTTTAAAATATTTTACAACTGTAATTGCTAATTTTATTATATTATTAAACTCATCTGATTCTTTGAATATTTCTCTAATACATAAATTAAACTGATGAGCAAAGCATAGCAAAAAAACTTTATCAGTATATTTTAATCTTAATCTACGTCTATAAAATAAAAAACAATTAATATTTAATATATTTGATAATAACTTAACTTTATATAGAATCTATATTATTTTACTAAAAATTACTTTACTGACAACTTAGTTTACTGACAGTTAATTTATAAAAAAGCTTATTTTACTAACAATTAATTCACAGACAAGTTTATTTTACTGACAATTTATTTTATTGACAGCTTATTTTAATAACAAAATTTTTTATAAATTGTACTAACTCAACTCTAATTTTAAATCTGATTCTAACAACAATAATCAGAATTACTTTGTTAGTATAATGAGCTGTCAGTAAAATAAACTTGTCTTTAAATTAATTGTCTGTAAAATATACTTGTCTGTAAATTAATTGTCTGTGAACTAAGTTGTAGATAGAGTGATTTTTAGTAAATTAACAGAACAGTATTATAACTATATAATTACCTTGAAGCAGCATAAGCTGCATCACTATCAGTTACAAGTCCTATTATATTTACTTCTAATAAATTAATTTCTTTGAACATTTTTTCAGTAATTTCCATAACATCTTCATATCTTTTTTGATATCTACTTATATCAATTGCATTCCATATTAAAGTTTTACAACTTGATGTAATTAAAATTGACCCTAAAATTTCTTGGTTTACCATGTTCTTTCAACTATCAAAAGCAATCATAACTCCATATTGATCACTGCATGCTTTATCTTGAATATATGATTTATTAATTTTAACTGCATTTTGTAAAATACGTCCAGCTAACTGTTTTCAACTAGGTAATACTAAATTAGGATTTAAACACTTATAATGTGCAATAGCATTTTTATCTTCTACCCATTGAAATGACCAACCATTTGCTACAGTAATATTTAAAATTTGATTTTTAAACCGAGCTTGTTCTGAAACAGTAAGTGTACGAGCAATAAAATTATCAATTTTTGTTTTATCTTTTACTGGAATGATTATATTTTCAACTATATTTTCATCAGAAGAAGACTCTAATATTATAGCAATAATTAATTTATATATATTGATATTAAAATTATATAATAAAAATTTTTACCTTCTTGATAATCTAATCGTAATTTTTTATTAGCTGTTCTTCGCTATTTAAAATATGTTTTGCTTGTTCTTCTCTACCAACCTTATGCATAAAATTTATACATACTTTGAAATGAATTTTACTAACTTTTTTCTATTAACAAGTTTAACTTTGTCTGAATTTGAAGCTTCAAAACAAGGACGGCAATAACAATATTTATCACTTGGTTTTTGAGGATTAACATATTCATTGGTAGTTATAATATATTCTGTAAGATAATATTTTTGTTTACTGCCAGAATGCTTTTTTGATTGAGTTTTTTTAGTAGACACTAACATCATAGCTGGAAAAGGATTCATTATGAGATAAAAAAATGGATCAAAAAATTAAAATTTATTCAATGTTATAAACAAATTTTCTTGCAAATTAAGCTAATTAATTATGCAAAATTATAATTTATATTACAGTTTATTTTAAACTTTATTGTAATTTATAATAAGACATATAATGACAAAATTTTTTTAAGGAGTATGAAAATAAATTACTTATTCAATTAAGGTAAATTCCGGCTTAAACTTGATTTAATAATTATTATATGTATATAAATAATCATATATATAACTTTAAATATATTACAATATTAATTGTTTAATTACAGCTTATTATACAAAATTAATATATATATACAAGATTTTATTTACTATATATATGCAGAATTTTTGAATTTTGAATCAATATAATTAATTTATACAGAGTAATAATAGAAGCAGCCA